TAGACCTCCCAAGGTACCAAAACAACAGTAAGGAACCTGAACAAAAGGGATAAATAAGACAGACATGAAATTGAAGGAGGTATCTCGAGATGAAAAAATGTAAAGAGAGGTAAACAGAGAGAGAGAGAGAGAGAGAGAGAGAGAGAGAGAGAGAGAGAGAGAGAGAGAGGGTGTGTGTGTGTGTGTGTGTGTATGAGGAGTGGTGTCCATCTAGAGCCCCTATGATCGCGAGTGGAAATTGGTATGAAGGAAATAAAAGGCAGAATAAAAAGGTATAAGTGTCGAAATAATAAAGGATAAGGAGCGAATGGCCAACTGTACAAACGCCAGATGGGACAATAATATCTACAGCAAAATAAATGGCAAACCGGAATGAAGTGGGTGATCGCGATCGGGTAGTCGATCAGTAGAAGTGCCAGGCCGCGGCCACATTCGCCAGCACCACCACGCCGATCAGACCGACGGATTTCGCAAGCGACGCGAGCAGCTCGACGTTGCCCGAGTCGCCGAAGCCAAGGACGTCGGCCACGACGGCGTGCAGCACCTTCCATCTGTACATTGCGCGAGCGCGGGGACAAGCGGCTCGCTGCAGGAGGTAGAACTCGTCCATGGTGTTGAGATGGCTGCTAGGACGAGTGCGAGGTGGCGGAAGCGTGGTTCCCGAAGCGGCTGTTCGGAGTTCCTTCCTCGTCTTCCAGGCTCGTAATAACGAGATGAGCCGCCAGGTCCAACCAGGGGGTGCCTCCCGAGCTTTCTGCCGGGAGTCTCTCTCGAGGATCTTCTGAAGAGCTTGATTCCTCCGTCCCCCTCGACGGTGACAAGCCGGAAATCGGCTGACTGGTTGTGTAGTCCATCCCACAGCGTCTGGATGGATCCTGTGTGTGCGAAGAAACGCATAAAAAACCGGGGGTTTCAGCACTCTGAGATGGAGCTGCTTGATTCCGCCCTTGCTGGGTTTGCCATTGGAAAAGTGACCTCCGGATGAGTCCTCATTTTGAGAGGAGTGCTCTCCGGAAGCGTAACCTTGACCTCCAATCCCCGCGGAACTCCATGACCTTGGCGCGAAGGTAGCACATGAACAAGGTCTGCATTTCCCGCTCGCTCTGGTGGCTTCCCTCCTGATGCTCCCCGTGAGAGGCTCGGGCCTAATGTAGAAAGTTGCCTTCTTATTGTACAACTTCCATGCTTCGTAGAATGCTTGCGGAACGGAGAGGAACGTGTTGTACCCCCATGTCAGGCCGATATACCATCCGCGGAACAGACTGCCCGTGAGCAAATCGAAACTATTCGAGTGGAAAACGCCCTGGCCACCATGGTCTTCTGGCCCTCCTTGTCGTATACGGCCATGTGCACGTCCAAGCTCGGATTCCATGGCGTCGCGATCGGATCGTTGACTTGGATGACGTAGGAGCCCGAACGATGGTTGAAGCTCGAGATGTGAAAACCTTCTCCATGGTGCCCGCAAAGAGGTAGCCTTTCCGTGCAGGAGGATTGGTAGGATTATCGGAGCGGAGAACGTAGACGTGTTTCTCGCCGAAGGTATTGAGGACTTCGAGAACGACGAGCTTGAGCTCCCTCGAAGCGGAATAGAGATAGTAGTACGAACCGGGTTGAACGAGTATCCGAAGAACGCGGGAGTGGTGACGAGATACGCAAGCGGTAGTCGCGGGGGGTTAAGGCCCTAATCGGCTATGTCAGTATGCCCGGCAATCAATGGAGTCTCGAAAAGGACTTACATGGCCGAGAAGCACACTGTCTAGTTTCTGATCGAATGGGAGATCCGAGTTGATGTACCTGGCGGGTCGACGCTGAAGAAGGTAAAATCCTCCTTGAGCGTTCTTCCATCCTCTTCGGCCTTCGTCTTCTCCGATCTGCTCGCCTTGATGGGACGCAACCTTCCCGATCGATCCCCGCATGGTGAGAGGGAATCCGACGTAGAGCAATGGATACTTGAAGCTGTGTTTTGTCGGTATGAATCGCGCATGTGTGGTGGAAGCAAAGAAGAATGTCGGTCTTAATCCCTCTGGCATCCCATGCTCGGGCCGTCAATTGGGGCGCTGAAGAAGCACCGGATGATTGACGGGAGAGTCGAATACAAGATGCCGACCACCAGCAATTCGCCCAACGCACGCCATGGCGTGGTCCGGTCGCCTGAACGGCATTGGAGAGGAGGACCGATCCTATCGAGATGCAGAATGCTGCTAGTTGTGTGGATATGCTGACTGAGATGAAGGAGTGTATTGCCGCTGACCAGAACCATGCCGACTTGGAGGCGACAGTGGTCTTGACGGGGCCCAAAAAGCGAAGATTCGGGAAGCAAAAGTCTAACATCGAGAAAGAGTGGGAGCCCATTGCGGTGCTTCGATGTTGATGTTGTCCGCGAATCGGATGAGAGTGTTGTCGAAGGAAAAAGACCGATACGAGTGAGATTGTGTGCTTAAGCCGATCGAGCCAAAAGTCGAGATTAAACGAAGTTTGCGGGGAAGACGAGATAAAGAGTGAGCGGGACCACAAAGAAACAAGTGCACGTGGTGGATCGATTGGGTATGCAACTCGCAAACAAATAGATAACCGTAAATACACTCAAGAAGTGCAGTTAGAAGGCGTGTACGAAGATTGCGATAAACTTTTAGGCTTAGCGCAGGTTCGGAATGTGGTACAGTCGGGATGGAATGGCGATGCCGAAGATTTTCGACAATGTCTTGGCTTTCCCGGATGTTCGGTGGAAAAATATTTTGCCACCGAAGGCAGGCGACGGGATGGAGATGACCCGGATTCGTACTTTCCAGATCACTGTCCGGTGGCTGTCGCGCAAAAGGACCGCGGACCGATGATATCTCTTACTGTGGCGGCGGCGCGTGTGCGTGTGCGACGTTCCACTCGAGAACAAGGAGGACCGGTACCACAATTTCCACTGCGGCAGGTCCCTCCTTCAGGTGAAGTTCTTCCTCTTCGTTGTATTCGAGACTTCTTGCCAGTATCCTCCCTGTTGTTTTGGAGGTTCTGGTGGTGGAGCCTTGTGGGGTGATAGAGCGCTGTTGTAAGACAACAGTCTGCTATACATGCTCCAGCGCTAATATGTTGTTGTAGTTGTCGAGGTGCAGACTTGCTCGATCGCTCCGGACTTTCGAATATCTCGAGTGAGGAAGTGGGGGAAGGCGGGGGTTACTATCGTGATGTTCAATGTATATTGATGTGGTTGCAGGTTCACCAACATATGACCGATGTCGGTATACTGTCCGACCATTAACGTTAGAGACAGGTCATATTGCGCACAGGCCAGGTGATCGACTCACAGTGATGCTCTTCCACGGTACTCGAGCGACAGCAGATGGAAGGCCGGATACGGTAATCGTGTCCGTTCGATGGAGATCCGGTATCGTGGACTCGGGAGGGAGGGATGCAGTGGATGGATGGATGCGAACGCGTGCGGGCGAGATGGAAAGGTACGAAGTTCGGGCCCGAAGTACGTTTGGAACAGCGGAGATTCTCCGAAATGATACGAGAAAAAAGGCTGGATGAGATTTTCGATCTATAAAAACTGGTCGAGATATGTGTTAGGCACTGCCATCCGGTTCGTCCACGTCCACGACGTCACTTCCCACCACCAACACCACCACCAACTCCAAGAAAGATGCAGGATACATACACCAAGACAAGAAACCCAAGGGGAGCAAGCAGCAGCAGCAGCAGCGAAGCGGAGATCTAAGGCAGAGGGGATCGGCCAGCTAATGGTAGAAGGAACGTGGCTCGGGTCGGAGGTGTCAAGCTACAGCAGTGTCGGTGTTGGCAAGAGAAAACTGTTCCACATTTCGTGCGTCGAAGCTATAATCTGAGATATGCAAATTGGGGGGAGGGGGGTGTTCCAGACGGACGGGACACGATGAGCGGCGGCGGAGGCGGCGGCGGGCGAGTAGACTGAGAGGCAAGAGAGGTCCGCGGTCCGGAGGAAGAGGACGTTAGAAGTCTAGAGCAAAGGGATGGGGAAGGGAGGGACTGCGGGCAGTATTAACGTCCCAGGAAGAGATCAGCCTTTTGTGAACGCAGTTGGAAAGGCCAAAAGGACCGGGTCCTCGCTGTCCCAAAATTCGAGACAACCTCAACGGCCTCCTCCTCCTCTTCCTCCTCCTCCACCACCCATGTCGTTTGTCTGATGTGCCCAGTGCACGCTGTGGGATGGAGGTGGGAGGGGGGGGCAATTCAGTTCCGCAGCTGTTTCCCTGTCATTGAGGACCAACCCTGATGACATGGGCGGGCCAAATTCCAGGGAAGCCATTACAGCTGCGATCTCCTTTGGGCCTCGGATCTTCGAATCTGGAGAGACGACCAAGGTGGGAGCAAGGGCGGCAGCCCCGAATGAGGCAAGAGGGGGGGTCCAAGGCGCGTCCCATCCGGGCGCTGGCTCCTGGTCTTGCACCTGGGGGTTGAAGTAGCGACGCGGACGAGAGCACTGGGAGGAGACTAGGACGCGTAGATGTCTCGAACCGTGTGGATTCGAAGCACGCACGGGAGTGCTGAGCCTTCCGTAAAGAGCTCGTGCTCCGGGGCCGTAGCACGCGCAAGCCCGTCTGCGCGACAAGTTGTCGGACCATGCACCGGTTGCGGCAGTTGCGCCGGTTGCGCAGCGAACTGTGGGATGTCGCGGTGTCTCACGTTGCTACTCTACTATCCACCACCAGCACCACCAGCACCAGTGGCCATATTACGACATCACCATCACCACCATCACCACCATCACTACCGCAGGGCGGATTTTCGATACGACACGCCGGCCCACGATGTGCGTGGTGGTGGGATACAAGAAGTAGGCTGTCAAGTACTATAGGTTAGATACTTACTTATGTACACTTCTCGACCGCAGTCTTCACCCCCCTCCCCCCTCTTGAAGACGGCGATGAGGATTCCCATCCATCCAGCCAGCCAGCCGCTGGTCGGGCCAACGATTGTCCCCCCCGCTCGACTGTCGTCCAGCTGCGCGATAGATAACCAACTAACGTGGAAGACTCGGCACGTCAACTACTCTAGTACTGCTCACCTGCCCGTGGAGAAAAAAAAATTATGCATCCAACGCGGTTTTTCCTCTCCATTGCAATTCCGGCATTCGAGAGGCCAAGACTCCAATCAAAGGTCCACATCGAGCCGTGCGGAAGCAGCAGAATAAACACCCGCAACACGCCACGAACCAGTGAGCATCACGGTAGCTATTGCGGGTGCATACGGGGGGAATATTTAATCCTCGCGGTGCTTGCCCTTCGAGCGGGATCGGAGCGGAACGAAGGGAGAGTGACATGCGCGCGTGGAATCGTTGAGGGTGCGGCCATCAATCGTCATGGGACGGAAAGAAGCCTGCCCCTGACCCTGGCGATGCCGCACTCTACATGTCAGACAGGTCCGGTTGGATGCTTGCTACTGCTCTATAGAGTACTAGTATCCTGTATAGATGCTGGGTATACGCAGACAGGTACCGCCCGGCACTTCGAACGAGAGAGCGCACCAAGATGTCCTATGTATGCGTACTCTCTACACCTACATACCCGAGGAATCCCCCCGTCGCGGTTCCCCGCGTCACCTGTCGGTGGGGTGCTGCAAAACTAACACTCTTTGGCAGGTCGAAACTCTCTCTCTGCCTATCTCTCTCTCCCTCGAGCCGTGAGCTTATCCCGACGACAAACAGATGCAGCTCATCGCGTGTGTATGTACGTATGACTTATCCGAGATCTCTCCCCGGGTCACTCTGTCTCGGTTGTCCAGAGGAGGTGTAGGTAATACTTTACTCCGCTATATAGTTGGTAGCCGCCTGCCGTTCCGCTCCAGATATGTAGTTGGATAGATATGGACCTGTTCCGCGCTGTCTTCTCCGCCGGACTGGCGCGGGCTGCCTCTTCTATGTACTGCCTGCAAGCACCTTACGATGCATGCATTGTGTGGTGGTGGTGGTGGTATGTATATGCAAGATGATGGCAGGCAGTGTTAACGGTGAGGATCGACAATCTGGTTGCCCATCATCATCGTCATCATCACCACAATCCCCATCGCGACTGCCTTCACCGACGCAGCCGCAAAGCCCATGCCGCACATCCGCCGCAGAGCCATTCCATACATCCGCCACAGAGCCATACCGGTAGTCTCATTGGTCAGCCTCATGACCCGTTGCCGAGTATGTAGGCCCCGTGCAGAATGAGCGGCATCGCACTCGCAGATATGGATTCTTCGGGCTGTACTTACATAAATAAGTACCGTATGCGGCGTTCCCACCACTGTGACTGGCAACTGTCAACTGCTGGATTCTGCTGGTTCCTGCTACATCAACGAACCTATGTAGAGTGTTATAGCGTAACACCACACACGTCGTTCTGCAGGCCTGGCCGTTAACTAAGTAGGTAAGCAGTTGACGTTGAAGGCGCCTCATGCACTGCGTGGGCGGCGGAGTGAGGTGGTACATACTCCACATACACGTCTTTTTTACTTTTCCTACCGTATGTAGAGTATGTTACTATATAGCCCGCGCAGCTGCCGCAGGCTCGCAGCATCACCAACTTTCGAACCTTCGTCGGAGCTGAACCAAGTACCTAAGTGCTTACTTAATGTAACTACTCTATATATATCTTTACTACATACTTCACTGTACATAAAAAGCGGTCAAGTCTACTGTAGCATCGGCACATCGGCGGCCGCCCGACTGTCTCGGTCGTTCAGAGGACAGCTTTCGCCGTGCCTATCCGCCAGCCGTCGTTCATCTATCTACTCTAATTTACCACCACCCGCATCTACCCTAGGTACAAAGGTCTTGGGTATGTGTGTATCACAAGAAAGAAAGAAAGAAAGAAGAAAGAAAACAGAAAGAAAGAAAGAAAGAAGAAGAAAGAAGAAAGAAAGAAAGCAAAAGGAAAGAAAAAGAAAGAAAAGAAGAAAAGAAAAAAAGAAGAAAAAAGAAAGAAAGAAGAAAAGAAAAAGAAAGAAAGAAAGAAAAAAGAAAAAGAAAAAGAAAGAAAAAGAAAGAAAAGGAAAAGAAAGAAGAAAGAAAGAAAAGAAAAGAAGAAAGAAAGAAAAGGAAAGAAAGAAGAAAAGAAAGAAAGAAAGAAAGAAAGCAAAACGCCTCCATTCTCCCCTTCCCGACCCCACCATGCAAACCTCCACCAACACCCCTTCGCCCCATCGACCTTGCCAAAAAGGCGCTCAGGAGCAAAACCAAAACCAAAACAAACCCAGCAAGAAAAACGCCACATACGCCCCTTCCCTTTGGCAGAATCGCAGACATCGCAGGCTTCGGCTCAATCCGCATCGCCATGCGCGAATACCGTGTCTGCCGATCTGGATTGCCACCTCCCCCTCCTCTCCCATAAGCACTTGTCTCACGATTCTGGCTGGGCGGGAACCCAGCGTCGTCCATCTAGAGTTGATGTAGCATCCGCAGCTCGTTATTGGTGCACGATACTAGTATGTAGAGTAACTACCAAAGGAGAATCGAATTACCTGCAGGCTGCTGCAGCTGAGGAATTGGAGAGTACTACTCTACCTGTGATAATACGGTACCGTACCGTGGAAGCCGAGAGTTCTCTCCTGCTTCTACTTTGAGTTCCCCTTCTTCCGCCTTGAGTTCCCCTTTTTCTTCAGACAGGCCCAAAGGGCTCTCTGAGCCTGCAGTCTAGAGTCTGGAGTCATACCGTTCGACGGTTCAATGAATCGATATAGGATCGTAGTTTTATTAATAGGTAGAGACATACAGATTCCAGATTTCAGCTGATGATTGATGATTGATCTACCGCTCCGGCTTCGTACATTAGGTAGGTACCAATTGGACTTTTCTGAACCCATGAGTGCCTACGTACCGTACCGTACCAACCAGATAACCAGAGTTCCTAGTTCCTACACAGCTGAGCTGAAGTGGAAGCAACCCCCCTTCCTCACATACCAACAACCTCATCAATTGGCTCCCATACTTCCAGTTCCTGTCTCTGTTCGTTTGCCTTGCAGATCTCCTGACTTCATTAGATATATTTCCGATCTATTCGAAGCCCGTGTATCGAACTGGGCACGGGCAGGGGCTGCCGCGGGCCGGGTCGTAAGTTTGAGTTGCAGATGCCAGGAAGTGTGTGTGTGTGTGTGTGTGGTGTGTGTGTGTGTGTGTGTGTGTGTGTGTGTGTATGTGTGTGTGTGTGTGTGTGATCGCCGACACGCCCCTACGAGTATCTCTGCACTGGTACCTGGTTAACCACAATCGGCGCGGGGCATAGACGGTGGGTTTTCGGAAGATTTCTTGTCTTGTCTTGGTGGATGTTTCGGTAGGATAGGGGAGGGGGAGGGGGGAGGGTCCATGTAGAGTTTGGACGCTCGGTTGGTCGGTCGGTTGGACGGTGGGAGGATGGGCGATATGATGGCGGAGAATTGGATAAATGCATAATTCCGCTTGCACCGAGGTTCTGTGTGTCTGTGTGTGCTCGTGTGTATAGAGTAGAGTAGGTATGCATACCTAGATCGCCTCGAGCCCTGCCCTGCCCTGCTCGCGCAATCCACGATCCAATCCGCAAGCACAAGCCCAAACCCAAGCTAAAATTCCTCAAGCCCAAGCCGCAAGTCCCCATGCCCAAACGACAGCGACAACGGCAACGGAAACTCCGAATCTCCGTTGCCCCTTCCCTTCCCCCTTCCCCCTCAATAACCAGCTCAATAACCAGGCTTCAGCCCAGGCCCTACTGCTCTATGTACTCTTTATTAGTACCAAGAGTACAGTCCACCGACTCCCGAGGCCCGCCGATGTAGGTATGAATCCAAAGCTGTAACCGCCGGCCTATCAAACTCCAAAATTTGCCCACACGTAGACATCCCAAGTAAAAACGCTCTGTAGGTACCTATGACCTAGGTTGAGTAGGTACTTAGGCACCTAGGTAATCAATGCTTGCTTGCTTGCTTGTCTGCTGATGCAACCTCCGATCACAACTATCCATGGAATGCATGCACACATCCTTCACACATTCTCGAAAGTCCAGGCTCGATTCATCCTCCACCGGGCACCCAGGGTCCAGCACCCCATCAGCCAACGTGCGCTTATTTACAGGCGGCAATTAGCGATGCATACCAACAAAGTAGTCACTTATGTATTGATCATCTACGCAGCCCAGACCCCAGACCCAAGGCGGCCAGCCCCCGTCTCCCGTCTCCCGGTGCCGTCGTAACGCCAAGCGAGGGGCGAGGGATGAGGGATGGGGGTCGGCCCTCGGAATGAGCCGTCTTCGCCGGTATGCCGGATGGATAGGTAGCCGGGGGGAGGGCCGGGGGTTGGCACATAGACACATTCGGCGTGCACATACCGTAGGTTGGTATAGGGTACCAACCGCCCAGGCTCCGATTCCTCACGCCACCATCGCAGCCCATCGGTCCATCTTCGCCCCGCCCTGTCCATCTTTGCCCCGCCCTATCCGTCCCGCGCCGCCTTACTCCTTGCTACCCAGTCTCCCATCATAGGTACAAACCTCGATGCAGTGTGCACACCCTCTCAAGCTCTCAAGCTCTCAGGCTCCCAGACCCCCCTCCACCGCTCGCTCGCTCGAGCGAGCGATGCGATGCGATGCGATGCGATCGGATGGGTGGCGTGGGAATGCAGCGATTAAACGTTCTGGAAACTCTGTTGCCCCATTCCCCCCCACTTCCCCCCTTCTCCCCTCTCCCCGTCACCTCCTCCCGTCACCTGCGCCTTCAAAGTTCACACTCGTCCACGCGCACGCAAAGGCGCGGCCGAGAGAGAGCCGCATTCCGCACTTTTGACATTCCACGTTTCGCGTGTGAGTAGTTTGAACTTTGACATCATATCGGAGCTATCTTTGAAGGGTGAGGGGAGGGGGGAGGCTGCGTTTCCGATCATAACATCTCATCGCGGCCACGAGACGGGCAAAGCCGGACGAGCCGGAGCCGGATGATCTACCTATTATCTTGATACCTATCATCTGCCGATCATAGCGGGGAAGATGGGGAAAGATGGGGGGGAGGTGCTATCGATATACGGCACGAGGTATCCAGGTATCCACTGGCCTTGCTTGGTCAAGGTACATAAGGTATCATACTCGTACATACATAGTCCGCCTCGAATCAAATCACGACGACAGAGATCGTGGACGGGAAATCTTTCGGCCGCACGGCAATGTGCAATGTGTAAAGTGCAAAGTGCACAAACGAGCCGTATGCCTTGAATCGATTGAATTATAATCGATCGTGATTCGTTGCTATTTGCCCCTCCAGGGCCTCCACCCCGCCACACGACGATCGGCCGGCATCCGAGGTGCGGTGCGGTGTGCTGCGGTGCAAAGGTACGTACGTACGTATGTATCGTATGTATGAGGGATAAGGGGGGAGATGCGACGTGACGTGACGACGCTTTACGTGGCGGGCCGCGGCATATCACCCCCGGGATCAAGCTCTGCCGAGTCAACATGGATGGATTTCTCAAGAGCATCCCCGGTATGTACCGAGGCATCCCGTAAAACCGAGTGATATCGCAAGCATGCCATCATCTTTCGTCCACCCATCCCATCCCCACCTGTCTGACATCGAAACGAAAATCCTCCAGAGCTTCAGAGCTCCAACTTTGGGGTCGTGATAATCCCTAACCAACCCGGCACCGGCCGATACTCACGTAGATATGAGGTATGTACATGCCCCCACTCTCCACGTTGGTCGGCGGCTCCAGTGTTCGACATAGGGACTGCAGTTTGGACTGGACGGACGGTTAAGATCTGGTCCCGTTCGGCCATTTAGACGGACTGCAGAAACGTAGTGCGTCCACTCCATGGATCTCGTGGACTGGGCGCGGACTGCAGTCCGTCTTGCTTTCAAAAAAAATTGGACTAGGTAGTCCGTCCAAATACTGCCCCGGACGGACTACCAAAATACATTCCAGTCCAGTCCGAGGCTCAGGACGGACGGACTGGACGATGTCGAACACCGGGCCGCGGCTCAGAGAATATTGACATGTCGGGGTTGAGAGGGGAGCCGGAGCGGGGTGAATATTTTTTTTGTTTAATCATTGCGAGCGCGGGATGAATAGCAACAATAACGGCTGCAATTGTGGGTGTGTGCGAGTGACAATGCGAGTGACAATGACAGTGGAAGACTGGTGGTAGTGGTGGACTTGCGGGATATCCTCAGACCACGGGGTTAGATAAAACGGAACGCGAGCGAGTGCGAACGTGTCTGGTGATGGAGGGAGAAGGCCGTCAGACGGGAGGAAAGGACCTTGAAGTGGAAAAATTTTGAGTACCCGGTTTTCATCTTTCGGATTTCCCCGTTTTTGACGTTCAGTTTTCATTCCATCTCCAACATCTCCAGCCCCCAGGTCAGAACTGTCGGATACCTTGGTTGGTATGGAAGTAGGTACACCATCAAGATCCTCGAGTCCTCGACCCACCTCAAGGCCACCCCCACCAGTCAATCCCATCCCATCCAATTCTTACCCAAGGGCCAATTCCACCCAACCCCATCTAATTCTGCATTAATTCTGCATAATTCTGCATAATTCCGCACAATTCCACAAAAAAGATTACCAGTGCTTACGATAGTCCAGTCCAGTCCGTCTTTCCGCAAAAGTCGGGGACTGGGCTGAAAGGTTCAGTCCGGCAGGAGGCGTGGACTGGACTGGGCAGTCTGCACAACTGGTAGAGCTGGACGGACTGTGGTCGACTGGATGGACTGGTACTTTGAATGGAAAATGTTTGACATACGTAATGACCTTTTGCACACGTCTATAGTACAGATATTGCAGACCCTCCTCGCACAGTTGCATTGAGAATAGTCTCCTTGATATCTCCCTCTGTAGCAGCTACAAGACCATCTCTTTGCTACCTTTGAGACATTTTAGGGCCTTCAGTGCGTCGTCACGCATGCTTCAGCGACGATATGAGAGTGATTTTAGCCCCACTAAAAACTCGTTCCGGATCTGCTCTTATGGCGGGAAATGCTCAAATATTCGAGGGCCTTTCTGGCGAGATCTGAGCGAATAAATCACATAAAACTCGCTGGAAAGATGCCGCTGGCCACATAGTTCGTGAACCTCGCTAGAAGTTGAACGAGTGATCACTTTTACCACTGAAATAATCTTGTAGGGGAGAGTATGAGAGGAGACGGATTGATATGGGCGGATATGGTATTGGTGGGAGGATATGGGAGGATATGGGCGGATATGGAATTGTGGGTTGATATGGCAGATATGGATTGATATGGTATTTGTGGGCGGATATAAGAGAATATGGATTGATATGGTATTCATGGGCGGATTTGGTATTTATGGAGGATATGGGAGGATATGGGCGGATATGGTAATTGTGGGTGGATATGGCAGGATATGGATTGATATGGTATTTGTGGGTGGATATGGTATTTATGGGTGGATATGGTATTTATGGGCGGATATGGTATTCATGGGTGGATATGGGAGGATACGGATTCATATGAGTGGATATGGATTGATATGGGTAGTTCTCTTGTCTTGTCGTGGTTTTACCACAGCTTAGAAAACCTGATTAGGAAGACAACGTTTTCTCTACACCAGGTAATTTGTTGTGCGAATACGGTAATTGTCTGGTAGCCCTCCAGTATTGTAGACAGTGCGTAATATTTTCATTTAGAAGAACTGCAGTAGTTATTCTTCCAGCGGTTTGGTAAGCCTATCTCTACACAACCGCATATAATATCTTTCGTTACTGTAGAATTGAGAATATAGCAAAAAACAAACAAATACCAGAGCAAACCTGTATTCTCTGAGACTGCTGGATTTATATCCGAGCGGTAGTACTACCTACTGGAGACCTGCGGCATCAATCGCATCCTGCTGTTTGCTACCTACTGTAGGTATCGGTATCGGATTCGTTTTTCGAATCGAGCTGAATTGAACAGGTGTTTCCTACTACCTACCATAGTAGCATCCTGATGCTCGTAGCGTGGATTGACATGATCTGGTGTGGGATGAGGTGGCATCTTGGGTGGCATCTTGTGGGATGGCATCTTGTGGGTTGCGGTGTTGCTAGTGCAGTGTGCAGTAGTGTGGTCCTGCTAGACAGACAGTAGCCGGCTATAGTAGATTCATCACCTATCCCGTGCCTCGTGCGTTCTGCTGAACTGGGTGCTGTATGTAGGCTTCCACGTTCCATTCGCAGCCGACATCCCACCACCTCACCCCACCACCACTGATCACTCGACAACTGAGCAACTCAGCGCGGCGATGTGCGGAATACTGGGTTTCTGGAGCATACTCAATGGGTTTAAGCTTGGCGAATGAGAGTATTCTAATCGATGGCTGCCATAGCCTAAATACATAGCCTACATATATTCTCCTGCAACTTGATGTTGATACGGTTTTTTGGAAGGAGCCCAGAAGAATACCGGTATGTACGAACACGCACACGAACACGAGCACGGACACTAGACACGAACACGACACAGGAACTGGTGCCTTCTTGCGTACCATCACCCCCCCACAGTTACAGCCTATGTATGTAGCAGCCACTCGTAAACGGTGGGACAATAGTGATAGTTAGTACCGTATAAGGGCATGCAAACACCTACTAGGCATGGGTTGAGAGAATCAGCCTTACAGAAGTGATACCATGGCCCACCTCCGAGCATGCACGCACGACATACCTACCGTACCTCGCGGCTGCTACAAGACTACAATTACGATAATACGAGTGATCTCTCACAGTGGCAGTGGCTGTGACTGTGGTTCGGACACGTGGTATTACTGCAATGATGCGCTCGACGGGCCGACTACATTTTACTTTGATATCACGTAACCGTCCCGAAGCCTGGCGGTCGCCGGTCGGCGATGTGGGTACTGCAGGGTTGTACGGTCCGTTCAAGGGAAAGGAAGGACCTCCTCGGAGTGACTGGGCGGGCCGCGGACGGTCGGCGGTCCCCATAGGTGTTCGAGCATTGGGCTAGAGACCGAAGACAGTCCGGCAGAGAGTCTAGACTAGTACATAGAGGGAGACCGGACAACATCACGATTCACGATTCACGATTCACCAGTAAATCACGTTATACTCAAGGCCCTCACAAGCACTCACGTAGTATCATTATTCCCCGTCATCATTCCCAGCATCGTCGTTTCATGGATTATGTGCAAAGAATAACCCCCAATGTCCCCATCATCTCCGCTAAGCTATGTCTTCTCGGCAGCCGCCAAGTATTAGAGCACGCAACTTTTCTTCACATCCCCCACATCATCGTCAAGGTGGGATTTTCTATCGGTGCTTAGTCGATGGCTTGGCCTCGATCGTCATCATCTCGCCTTCGTCGGTCATGAAGTAGTCGTGGAGGAGGGGCTTGCTTGGCGGATATGCGGCCGGCAGGGTCGTAGACGAGCATGGCCTGGTTGAAGTTGTTAATGGGTTGTGAGTGCGTACCGGGGGATGGAAGGACAAACGTCGAGAAGGTCAAGACCCGCGGGCTCAAGGTTCGGTACCATCCGCTCGATGTCTACTCGGTCCCACCGTGGAAAGCTGCTCTTGTAGTCGGGGAAGGAGGGTCACGCCGGGCCACGTCGTCTCGGTCGGGGGTGCCGAGTAGTCTAGTCGTGTCTGTCTGTCAGCTGTCTGCGTTTGCTGCGAGTGAACCAGGACGGTATTGACTACCGGAAGATCTTGAAGATCTCGTCAATCTCCGAGTCGCCGGGGAACAGGGCCTTGCGCGTGCACATCTCGGCAAAGATGCAGCCGACACTCCACATGTCGACACCGGTGCTGTACTGCTTTCCGCCAGCAGGATCTCGGGGAACGGTACCACAAGGTCACGACCTATCCATTCCCGCCACGTCAGCACACAAAACAAACAACACAGGGCCATTTCACACAACTCACCTCGTGAGTGTAGGTCCTCAACGGCACACCCAAACGCCCTCGCCAGACCGAAATCCGCCAACTTCAGATTCCCCTCCTTGTCGATGAGCAGATTCTGGGGCTTGAGATCTCTGTGCAGGATGCGATGCGAATGGCAGTACTTGACACCGCTGACCAGCTGGTTCATGAAGCGCTTGACCATGTCCTCGCCGAGTCCCATCCCCGCCGGTATGGCCTCCATGTACTTCTTGAGATCCAGATCCAAGAACTCGAAGACCAGGTAGACCTTGTGGCCCTCGGCGATGATGTTGAGTAGTTTGACGATGTTGGGGTCGTTCATCTCCTTGAGTAGCGAGATCTCGCGGATCGCGGTGGAGGGGACTCCCTCGTCTTCCGCTTCCAGACGGATCTTCTTCATCGCCACTATTCTATTGTGGTTGTTCAGGTCCTTGGCTTTGTACACAACTCCGTACGTGCCTAGGATGGGGATAGGATGGTTAGCTAAGGGGACGTAGCATGATGGGGGGTGGCGATGGGAACGGGGGGAAGGCAACAGACCTTCACCGATCTTCTCAATCCTCTGGTAGCCGTCCATGGTTGAGCTGTGTGTGAGGATGTGTTTGTCGGTTATGGAAGGTTGTAGGGGAGGGTGTCGTGTAGCTGAGTAGGAGTGGCGATGAAAGCTTCAGCTAGGGAAGCAAGTTTGTGGCGGGAGCCGTGTCGTGTCGTGTCGTGTTGTGGGGATGGCGAGGAAGACGCGAGTTCTACTCTAATATTGCGTCGGGGGGGGTCGGAGGCGGCCTCGTTTTGATTTTTGCTTGGTTAGGGTTTCTGGTTCTGGGGTTCTTTTTTTCTGATTCCGATGGACGTGTGATGTTGTAGCAAGCAGGAACGGGAAGGGGTAAGTCAGCTAGGCCAGCATGAGTTCGTTTCCTTTGTTCCTGTCTGATGCCTGTCCGTCTCCGGTGTCTGTCACTGTGAAGTAAAGCAGTGCGGTGGGCGCGTGTGAGGGAGGACGATTGACTGCGAGGAGTGGGAGACGAGGCGGAGCGGGCGGAGCGGGTATCGACGGCGGGGATTGGCGGGGCGGGCGGGTTGAGTTGAGCTGTGTTGGCCGCCGTAGAGTACGTGCTCGGGAAGAACGACGAGCAGCTTTACATCGAGTTATATGTAGCATGTACTCTACGTTACTTCCATGCCCGCCGAGACCACTGACGCTACGATGTGCATGAGTACGTGATCTCCCCGCGTTTCAGCCGCACAAAGACGTGAGGATCCTCCGCATCGACATCGGGCCATTCTTGGAGCCCACGGCCAAAAGCTTCCTTTGACTCGCGAACCGATAACCGCAGAAGACCGATGCCGAGACATGTAATAACCGTAGTACTATACTCTGGACAGACCGGTATCATACAATCCCATCCTTCGAGACTTCCGAAGACTTGTACCCAAGTACCCAGTGCCCACACAATTTGACGGGCCCGTATGAGTGTAAACCGATGGACTTCACTACTGATTGAGTCGCCATGGAAAGCAATTGATTCCATGTAGCCCGCCAAGCTTTCGCAAACCATCCCTTCCCTCTCTCGACCTCCAATCCACAAACCATGGCCACTGCCGTCCCACCTCCGGCACCGGCACCACCACCGCCGCCAATCGATCATGCCCACCACTCCCCACCGCCGCATATCCGCGTGATCCACAAAACACTCCAGAAGTCACTGAGCAACGATGAAATCCCGATCCTCGATTTTTCCGGTGGCGGGGGGATTCCCGAGTACCACCGGAAGCGGCTGAAGCTACACGGCACGATATCAAGGCAGCAGGTGCGGGAGGCTTTTGCACAGTTTACGCGTGCGGCTGGGGCGGGAGAGGAAGAGGGAGTGCAGGGAGAAGAACAACAGGACGGAATCCAGGAGGAAGGGGATGTCGAGATTTGGGAGCATAGCTCTGTGCCTGGTTCGTTCATTACATCAAAGTATTGGTTTGTTACTGACATCTCCAGGCCTCCAACTAATCCCTTCCCTCCTCCCGCTCTCCATCCAGTCCACCCTCCTGACAGCCCTCCTCACCACCTCCCTCAGCGATACTTCCACGCACAAGACCAACCTCCACGCGCACTACACGCTGCCCACACCGTGCAACTTCTTCACGCTCCCATCCACCACCGTCCTCTCCCCCCTCACCTCCATCCACAAGCCGATAACACTTGCCCAAGCCCTCTCCAAAAAGCTCCGCTGGGTGACCCTTGGCGGGCAATACGACTGGACGCTGAAGCAGTACCCCACCGACACGCCCCCGGAGTTCCCCGCAGACGTGGCCGGGCTGGTATCCGGGTGCTTCCCTGAAATAGTCCCGCAGGCGGCGATAGTAAACCTTTATTCCCCCTCGGACACTTTAGCACCGCACAGGGACATCTCCGAGGCGTCGGGCGCGGGGCTGGTGAGCGTTAGCATCGGGTGCGCGGGGATATTCGTTATCGGCTGCGATGGGGAAGAGGAGGGTGAGGTGTTGGCTGTAAGGCTGAACTCGGGGGATGCGGTGGTGATGGCGGGGAGCAGTCGGTGGGCGTGGCATAGTGTTCCGAAGATTCTGGCGGGGACATGTCCCGTGGGGCTGGAGCAATGGGATGGCGGGAGTGACAGCTGGAAGGGATGGATGAGAGGGAAGAGGGTTAACCTCAATGTCAGGCAGATGTGGGGTTAACTAGCACTGAGCAGGGGGAATAACCTGTTTACTTGCTATGCACCAAGTTTCGAGGGAAGGCCGTGTACCGAGACGTATTACGGTATCTACTGCCCGTTTGCGTGTTGGCCGGCCTGCGATACTCCTCCGTATCCCGATGTGCTGGAGTGAGAAGCTAAGTGTGCGCGGCAAACACGCGTTCGCTGGCGAGTGGGGGTGGCTGCGGGGCGGCGATACAAAATTCTAGGAGTGTGCCTTAGATGCTGGAGGAGGAGGAGGAGCAGCCCTGCACAGCCTCATGGCGGATGCAACATCAAATACATATAATATCTTGGACGTGTACCCTCTCTTTCTCCACTCTATTTGTACCTTCACGCCCTCCATTCTGTCTTACCCTCCCCTCTCCCCTAGCGAGTCTTTTCAGCTTTCTGGAGATGCGACAACTTGAACTTGAACTTCTGACTTCCAAGACTCCAAGTTCCCACGCAACCGGACTCTGAACGATCGCCATCCCCAGAAATAGAAGCGCACTATCATCCCTGCCTTAACTAGCCTCTGGCGCATGGTGGAGGCGGACCAGGAACTGAGCCACTACTCTACATAACTAATCATCGGAGGTCGATACCGCCGACACCTGCCTGGACAACCGCTTAAGACGCCTGAATCCAACGTACCGGTGGAAAGTGCACCGAGTGCCCCAGAGATACAACGACCGACGGCGATACTCCAAACGCACGACGAGAATTTGCAGAACGAATAGCAGCCATGCCGCTCGACGAGAACTTCCCGAGTGAGTGCGCTCCCGCTTCTCATAGTGTGCTCTGGCTAACGATCTCCAAGCCTACCAGTTCGCCATCCCTGACGCGACGAACCAGCCCACAATTACCACCGTCCACTTCACCATCTCTGGCGCCGTCCCGCAGCACCTCTACACCCTGACCCGCTTCCTGCAACCAGCGAATTCCTACAGCATCTCGCTGACCGACGCCCCGTTCCCGGACATAACCTACGGCTCGCTGTCTCTCCCGCTTCTCCCGAGCACCGTCAACCCCAATGAACTCCAGCGCCCCTCCTCGTTCACTCTCCAGCTCTACTCCCCGGACTCCACCGTGACGATCACCCAGAAACACACCGCCCTGACGCGCAACAACTTCTGGGAATTCACACTGCCCAAGTCCTCGTTCCTGCCACCGACGCAGTCGGCGCTGGACGCCTCGTACCGCCCGCCGGTGTCGGAGACACTCACGTTCCGGTGGCGCAAGGAGGGGATCAACATGCTTACGCGCAGCCAGCTGAAGTGCTCTCTGGTCTCCGGCGGGGACGAGCCGGACACGGTGCTAGCGATGTACAGCGGTGTCGGCGACAAGAACGGCAAGGGCGAGCTGGTGGTGTACGAGAGCAATTTCCGGCGCGTGGAGATGCAGGATCTCAAGGGGCTGGAGATGGTCCTGCTGCTGAGCTCCCGCGTCGTGGCCGACGTGTGGTTCAGCGGCTCGAGCGCTATATTCAACACTACACAACGCGTAGGCACGGGAATGGGCGGACCCGCCCCGCCCCCGCCAGCGTACGAACCCCCGGCCGCCTCCTCCGCTGGCACGTTCGCCGAACGCTTCAACAGCCAGGTATACCCGCCCGACAAACCCAAGGCCGCTCCCGTTTCACCCACCACCAGCCCAACACAACAGTCGGCGCCCATGCAGCAGCCCGCTCCCAAGCCCCAGCCCGCCGAGATGCCCACGCCCGCCCCAAGGCAACGACCCGCTGCACGGCAACCCCCCACCTCACCGGCACTAACCCAACGGCCCGCCGCGCGGCACCACCCAACAGCAAGACCACACACGACCGCGCGGCCCTTGCGGGCGCAACCCGCCTCGTCACAAGCGCCCGTGGAAGAAAAGATCGTGCCAACGCTCGAGGACCTCACAGCGCGACAGCGGATCGCCGACGAGCAAGCCGAGATCCGGCGGATGCTTGCGGACGAGGAGCGCGCGGCTGCGCACCGCCAGGCCGCTATCGACGCCGAGACCGAGCGCCTCAAGCGGCTGTATGAGCAGGAGGCGTTGGCGGAGGCGAGGGCGCGGCAGCAGCAGGGGCAGCAGCAACAGCAGGTGCAAAGACCGCATACCCAGCCGGGGCAGGCGCCGATGAGTCCGAGAAGGCCGCTGCAGCAGCAGAATCTACAGCAGCATAATCTGCAGCAGCACCACAAACAGCAGTATATTCCCCCTCCACTTCCAATTCCAAATCCGAACCGTGTTCCGAACCCGAAACCGCAGGCGCTAAAGTATTATCCGTCGCATAGAAACAGCAGTGGCAACATCAACAACAGCAGGCCGCCGATTGTCGGCGGCGCGGGCGGCTGGCATTCCGCCCCGCCGCAGTCACAGCCGGGACTCATCAATGCCGGAGTCGTCCCCAGTAGTGGGAAGCGGCTCGATGATAAGAGCCGAAGGAAAAGTTTCTTTGGGTTGAATTTTGGGGGTGGGGAGGCGGCGAGGGAGAAGGAGCGGGAGAAGGAGAGGGAGAAGGAGAGGGAAAGGGAGAAGGAGCGGGAGAAGGATCGGGAAAAGGAAAGAGAAAAGGAGAGAGTGAAGGAGCGGGAACGGGAGAAGGAACGGGAGAAGGAGAGGGTGAAGGAGAGGGAGCGGGAAAAGGAGCGGGAAAAGGAAAGGCTGAAGGAGCTGGAGAAGGAGAAACAGAAGAATAAGGGCAAGGGAAAACTTTCAAAGAAGGGGAGTCGGATGTGGTAAAGACCTACTTGGAATGGGTCGGGAGGAATGGGAATGGCGTTTTGGGGAGTTTGCGTTGCTTTTTATACCTGGGTGCGTACGTTTTGGAGGGAGATAACTAAGATTGAAATAGTTTGATGATGTGATGATGTGATGATCATGGGGAATAGGTACATACACTTTGGACGGCGGGAATGAAAGAGTACTTAGCGATAGTATCTACATGTTTGCCGGGTGATATTCGCAACAATAGAGGAGTGTTCTTGCAGTTTGCTTGCTCCACCGACTGGCGTTTTGTATTCCAAACAAGTGTGGCGTTAGTGGCAGAGGAGGTGAAGGACAACGCCGCACGACTGAGATATCGTGTCAAGTGGTCACCGTTCCGTTCAGTTCGGAGTACGCCGTGTATTCATGCTCTCTATTAGGAAAAGGAGATCTAGATTCTAGCCGATATATCACCATTTCCATCGCCACATATACGTAAAAGAAACTACATACATATTCAAAGCCAGCAAAATCAAAACAGTTCCCAACTCCCGACTCCCAAATCCCTCATACCCATACATTAGTCCCATTGATCATGCAAAACCCATCACCTACAGTCTCCATCACTATCACTCATCTGCTCCATTCACATCCACCCCATTCACCGTCATCTCATCCCCCTTCTCCGCCACCGTCCCAGCCGTCAACTCCTCAAAAACCCTGCCCAGCACTTCCCTAGCACCAAACAAATTCCTAACCCTAAGCCTCTCATTATCCAGATGCGCCATATCGGACGCCTGACCACACGGCAGATGCGCAGCCGGCGCTCCAAACTCCTCTTCGAGGAATCTCGCGGCGGGGATCGATCCACCCTCGCGGATAAACAGTGGCTGTGCGCCCCACACGTGCGTTATTGCGCGCTGCAGTGAGCAGAACGCCGAGTTGGTGAAGTCGCCCAGCCACGCTTCGGCGCTGTGCGATATGTCGATTGAGAGGTTGTTGCTGCCTGGGTAGGAGGACGTGAGGTATGAGCGGAGAGAGGAGGTCACGCCCGAGACGGATTGATCCGGGACGATGCGCAGGGAGATAGTCGCGGACGCGGACCGTGGGATCAGCGTGCTGTTGTTGCTGGGGCCGGACACGTCGACACGGTGGATGGTCAGCGAGGGGTACCGCCATTTCGACATCAGGTGGTCGGTGATTTCTTGGTGGGGCAGGCCGTGGAAGGGCGATGTCGGGTTGGCGTGGAGCGAGGCCGAGATGGGCAGGTACATTCGCTCCTCGGCGGGGGATAGAGGCCGGATGGGGGCGTTGAAGTCGGGGAGGAGGATCTCGCCAGTGGGGGAGGTGAGGTGGCTGAGGAGGGTGATCAGCTCGATGGTTGGCTCGCGGTTGAGCGAGCTGCCGTCGACGCCGGAGTGCAGGTCCGGCTTTTCGGACTGGATGGTAATCGTGGCGTGAATGACTCCTCTAAGGCCATAGGTGAGGCAGGGTGTATCATCGTCGAGCCAGTACGAGTTGGCGAACACGATCCAGTCGACATTGCCGATCAGGTCTTTGTGTTTCCTGACAGTATCTTTGAATCCTCTCGATCCCGACTCCTCCTCGCCCTCGATCAGGAAGACGATGTCACTCTCCAATTTCCCCGACTGCAGCAGTTCCCCGGCGGCAAACAGCGCAGCCAGACACGGTCCCTTGTTGTCGCTCACTCCACGGCCGTAGAGGTAGCCATCGACGCCTGTGAGCGTGAAGGGATCCGTTTTCCAACCCGAGCCCTCGGCGCTGGCCGGAATAACATCGTAATGTCCGTAGAACAGCAGGGTCTTCCCCTTCTCCGCCTTCCTGTTCGCACCCTCAAACCTTGCAAACACCACCGGATTGCGACCGTCCTCCGTCGGCAGCAGCGACGCGGCAGCTCCAAGTCGTTTACACAGACTCTTCAGAAACGTCGCACCCCTCCGACACTCCTCAGCGCAGCTAGGATCCGAGCTCACCGTCCGGAGCGCCACCAGCTTCGCCAGCGAACTGAGCAACTCGCCCTCACCCTCGCCGCGCTCCTCCTTGCCCCCCTCCTTCGCCGGAAACGGCTCGACGTCCCACACGCCGACACAATCGTCATTTCCACCGGTGATGTACAGCAGCCTCCCGTTCTTCTCGGTCACCGCACTGGCCAGCACCAGCCCCTCGTGCGCCCGCCACCTACTCACACACTCAAATCTCATATTCCACTTCCGCGTGAACCCGCTCGCGCTGCCGGAGAAGATACACTCCCCCTTCACCGCCAGCGTAAGCACGTCGTCGCAGTGCGCCTGCACACTCCTGACCTTCTGGCAGGTGTCCAGATCCCAAATATGTATTTCGCCGTCCGTAAGACCCGTGTAGAGCAGCGTATCCTTCACAACCATACTCAGCACGCCCGAGTCGCCACCAGCGAGCGTGCGCAGCTCCGAGATCCCACCAGTGATCGGATCAATCGCCCACAACTTAACATCCCCGTCGCCACCGCCCGTGAGCAGGAGCGACCCGGCGCCCAGCCCGATCTGCGCGGCAGGGAGGACCTGCATGCAGTAGACGTACCCAAAATGCGCGTACTGGACGATATTCGCGGGCTCGATCTCGAGCAGGGTCTTTCCGCGGGCACCCTCCTCTGCCGCTGGATCCTCGGCCTCATCCTCCTCCTCGTCGGGCCGGGGCGTGCACCTCCCGCCGGGCCCCTTCGAGTCGAAGAAGCGGTGCACGCGCTTGCTCGGATGGGCCTCGCCAGACACGGATTTTGCGCCGGCGGCGCCGGCGCCGCGCAGGTCGATCCACTGCACGGATGTGTTCTGTGCGCCGAAGTACGCTGTCCGCGAGGACACCGAGTACGCTACGCAGAAGACGTCGCCCACGTCGAATGTCGAATAGATCGTGTACAGGTTCGTGAATGTGCGCGGACACCACACTTGCACGATCGCATCGCCGGCGGAGGAGAAGAGGAGTTCGCCCTCGCCGGAGGAGGAGGGGCTGGAGGAGAGGTGTAGCGACAGCACGCTGCCAGAGTGCCCGCGTAGTGTGGCTACTAGGGAGTACGTCGCCAGCGACCACACCAGCACCGAGCCCGACTGCGAGCCCGCGAAGATGTGCGTGCTGTTGAGGGCAAGCGAGAGGATGCTGCGCGTGTAGCGCAGCCGGTGCAGCAGTGTTACGCCCGCGGTCGAGGTGCTCATCGTGCAGGTGTGTGTGGTGTGTGGGCGGCGGTTGGTGGTGCAGACGCGGGCGAGGAACGGCTTCTTCGCGGCGGCGGTGCGGTGCTGGTGCTGGTGCTGGTCGTGCTGAAGAGTGTACTGGTGGTGGTCGTGGTGGTAGTCCGGCGGTGGGGTAGGGTTGTCGCGAGAGATCGTGTGGGGATCCATAGTGGGTGGATGGATGGCGTCACCGCGTGTAGCTATGTCGTGAGATTCGTGAAGCGAAGGGAAGGGAAGGGAGCTCACAAACTTTGGCTCCCTATTTCACTGAGTGACCGAGCTCCTGAGACTACATCTCAGCTCTTCACTCCGACAAAGAAAGTCCCGGCCAGCCAATCGCAATACGGGTTGCCCGTATATGTAGATCCCGTGCCATGGCCGTGGCCATGGCGTCCGAGACCCTTCAAAGTTCAGCTGCCCGTCGCCGTCTCAAAGCGTGGCTACACCTCCCGCATCTGGTCACAGCACCAGATTGCCGAGCATCTCACAACAACACAGCGACACAGCGTCTCACGAGTCACACAGCAAGCACTCCGCAGCACACTGAATTGTAAAAACAACAGCATCGGGCTGTCAAGTCATCACAACGCCCTCATCTCCCCCCACCACAATCACCATCTTTATCGCCATGGCAATTGCTATATACAGCAACCCCCAATGCTCCATCCCCACCATTCAATACCCTCCATCGTAAAAGTAAAATCCTCCTCCTCCGTCAGTAGGCCGAAGTGACGCAACGGAATCAGAATCAGAATCAAAATCAAGAAGCAGAAAAAGAAAAAGAAAAAACATTAACCCATCACACAGAAAGTCAAATAAAATCAGAACTGCATCAAATCGCAATCAGTGAGAAGAAAAGAAAAAAAGGATAAGGAAAACAGAAACGAAAATGCAAACAGGGCGGGATATATCGCCCAGGAAGAAGAGAAGAAGAGAAAAAAAAAATAGAAAAAAAAGACTAAACACATAAGTCGCCATAAACCCACGATCATGCGCAGGTGTGAAGAAAAGAGAGAGAGAGATAAAGAGAAAGAAAAGCGTTCAAATAATTAGCCCACCCATCCATCCAGCAGCTGTTCACGCGTCTATCATACAATCCCCACACCCCGTTCCGCATTTGTTCACGATCATACGGCCTTGTCCTTCGGCCCCAACAGCGGCGAATGCTCCGAACTCAGCGCACGTTTATGTCTACTCTTATTGGAGTGACCTGACTTTGTGCTCGAGCTATCTTCGTACTCCTCCTCGCTGCTTGTCGTCTCGATGATGGTCTTTGGGATACCTCCAACGACATCGGTTCGCTCGATCAGACTCCCCGTGCGCGCCTTCTTCTTGTATCCCGCCGGCACCGGCGCGCGGAGTGTTCGTCCCGCATCGCTGTTGGGGTTGTCGGAGAACTGCAGGATGGCGGAGTCGGACACAGGTTTTCTTAATGTGTTGGAGGGGTAATCGGCGGGGCCGTCCTGGTAGCCAAAGTTGGCCAGGGACGGTCGCTGTCCGGGGTCCTCGGACCGCCGCGTGGGGTCGACGTGCTTGATCTTAACAGTCTTGCTCGTGGTTTCCCGGGGGCGGCCGGCAAGGTTCGCGGGCCCTAGTGTGAGGTGTGCTATCACTTCGTCAGAGAGACCTGGAACTCTGGCTCCGGAGTGCTTGCGACCCCGACCCATCGATGATGCTTCATCAATGTGCGCGGGGGTTCCTACACGCAGCGCCGGTTCCGGGCCCGTCGTGATCAGGAGGTCGGCGCTTTCGCCGGGGTGGGCGGCGGCAACGGCGGACGCGGTTTGGGCGAGCATGTGGGCGTCGGCATTGCGCGCGACGTATTGAGCTTCGATCTTGGCACGGGCGGCGTGGCTGAGGGACAGGGGCGATGGGTTGAGACGGCGGATTGCTTTGTGCACATCAATAAAGACGTCGCTCTCGTCGACGATTTCCTCGCCGATGAGCTCCTCAATGACATCCTCCAGCGTGACCACACCGAGCGCACCATGGTTCTCACCGGGATATTCAGACACGAGAACCATGTGCGACTTACCCTCCTGGAAGAAGTTGACGATATCGAGGCAGGAAGTATCTTCGGCGGTTTCCGGAAGCGTAGCGAGTGGGAATTCGTGCACGGGCCTAGCATCTTCGGGATCGTACGTGATCAGCACCTTGACTAGCAGCATACCAACGAAATTGGTTGGCTCGCCCGGCGCGTGGATCGGAATCCGCGAGTATCCGGCCGACAAGATGTCGTCCATAGTCTCCTCGTCGAGCAGCTGGTTGGCAGACATGGTGAACACATCCTTAATGGGCGTCATGATTGCGCCAACCGGCTTCTCCTTCAGATCCAACACAGCCGAAATAATCGTAACCTCGTCCTGATTGAGACGTTCCGAAGGGTGCGGTCCCAGGCTCTTGTGCAGCGTGACGAGTGTCTTGAGTCCGGCCTTCTTGTAGACAGTGCCGTGGTCTTCTCCGAGGATGTAATCGAGGAGGAGCGCGGTAGGGTATGCGACCGGGTACATCAGGTACATCAACGCGAGCACGAAACTATCGGTCGTCAGCACACATACCTATAGACGGGGGGGCACGAATTGAATCGTCACTTACGGTGAGAACAATGCACCAACACCGAGTCCGTATCTGACACAGATAGACTGCGGGATGATTTCTCCAAAGATGACTATTCGCACGCACACCCATCAGCATTCCACCCTCCCGGCATTAATCAATCGCACACCAGTCTCAACATACCGATCAAAACCGTACTGCTCAACACGGCGGGCCATCCTCCTCCCAGACTGCGATCGAGCACGATGGGCAATGTCTCGTTGGTGATGACATTACTCAACAGCAGCGTGACGAGGACCCAATGCTTTCCCC